ACAGGATGGGCCGTGGCGCTTGGACACGGAAGGGTAAGGGGGGGGGCCCAGAAGTGGAATAGGTTAGTTATGCCCTTCCTCAACGTCGAAGCGCCGTGAACCTTGCACGTGAAACTCTTGACCTAAGTGGCTCTGCCGCCTCAGCTTCAGCCTTAGGAGCCTGGGATGCAAAGCCTGCAGTGCTGAAACCCCTCGCCTCAAATGCGTGAGGCATTTTCAGATAGTCGAGCACAGGTGCTGACAAGCCATGGCTAGGCCTGTGCCTTACAGGCAATTTTGATCTCTTTTTCCCACTTGCTAGGCGCTGGGCTCTCTGAACCCTCGGCTTTTCTGGGCATCCGAAACGGAAGTGCCCAGCTCCAGCCGGAGAAAACTAGACTCGCCATCAGCGCGAACCGGAGCTTTGTTTGCTACATCCGGCAGAAGGAACTGCCCTGCAAGACCTCCGTGGAAGAAACTGAGCCCGCGCAAGCTTGGGGAATACTACTTGCTCTTCCTGTTCTTGTCGTTGCCTGACGTTCGTTTCAGGTCCTGCGCAGCCGTGCTTCTCGTCCAAAGCGGCGACTCCAGCCAAAGCGGCGACAACATCTAAAGCGGCGAGCTTCAGCGCAGCTTAGCATAATCAACTTATTGTGATCAGCAGAGTGCGAGTCAGAACTTTTTGGGATTCTGCCCAGGGTGTGAACTCAGGGTGATTTCCCGGTAAATCGCAGCTGCTCCCGAACCAGCCAAGTTATCCCTGAACCCTAAATCCCCCTAAACCCAAAACGCTTAGCCCTTACTATAAGCGCTACATAGCCAGTTGGCCCGCTGATCGTCCTCAGCTTCGAATGCCGTCTCTGCGGCCCTGGACCCAAAACCCCAAGCCAGGGTTTAGAGGTTGAGGGTTTAGGGCTTAGGGGGTTCCTTGTTATCATTACAGTATAATAAACCCTAAACCCTAAACCCTAAACCCTAAACCGTATAATGGCCCCAAAATGGCTATTCTAACTATGAAGGCCCCGATGTTAGGGTTCAAAACCCCACAAACTCCGCTGTATTTCTGGAGCTCCCCGCTGCCTCTAAGGCTGTGCCCATGTGGAACTCCTTCATGGGCGCCTTCTCCGCCTTCGATGTTCGAGCTTGGGGTCTCCGGTTTGTGGCCGAGGCTTACTCTAGGTATATAGGCCTTTGGGACATCTTATATTTCCCCTTATGGGGCTTAACAGGATCTTATTTGCGAATATTATTCAGAGGCTTTGAGGGGCCAGCCTAGTACTGCTCAACTTGGACATTTCTTTGGGCAGGCAGGTGTTGGTCATCAGTGTGCTAGATAGACCTGTTTTGCTGCCATCCTCCCGTTCTGCTGGGGCTTGGGGCTTCCAGTTTAGGGTTTGGGGTTTCAAGAACTACCAATACCATTTTGGGGGGCTCCTTCATATAACTATACTATAAAGGAGCCCGGTTTAGGGTTGAGCCTTGGATGCAGAGGGAGTCTGGGGTCGGACAAGACGTTGGCCCCACGCGAACCCTATGCGCTGCAGGCTTTGTGAAGGTCAGGAGAGCCAGTGTCTAGACGAAGCTCATGTCGGCACCTGCCGGCCAGACTTCAGCAGGCACCGGTATCCTGGACCTTAACCCAACCCTGCACTTGACTTCAAAGCCCCCTCCCAGTCCCTTAAGGGCCCCGAATCTAAATCCTAAGATTCCCAGGCTGCGTCGGCGGCCCCCCACATCCCTGGGCATGGCAGCCAGGTCTTCTGGATTCGCAAAAGTTGCAAGTTCCAGTACACCAGCACGCTGAGAGCGTGCTTGTCCGCTACTCTGTTGTAGTCGTGTGTATCTCAAGCGTCGCACAGGTGATGGGCAAGTTCTCGATCTCGCCACTAGTTCCGGCTTGTTCCTTTTTATCTCAACTCACTGGCCCTTGTATTGCAGCACCTCTTACTCGACATTTGTCATAATGGTATCATCATCATTGCGGTTGCAGCGGTTGCTATGGTTATTGCCACTATTGCAGTTGTTGGTATTAGTATTGTTTGTGTTATTTCTATTCCGATTGTTATTATCATCATAGTTATGTTTATTGTCAATATTAGTATGCTTCATCCTCTTCTTCTTCTTGTTCTGAGACGCCCTAAACCCTAAACCCTGAACCCTAAACCCTAAACACTCAACCCATAATGAACTCGGACCTTTCAGGCTGGCAGCAGCCTCCTGCGCCTGCTCCTCCACCTGCGCCTCCCCAGCGCTTCTCGAAGCTGGCAGATGCGCTGGACCGAAAGAACGCACCTTGGGATTTAGGTTTAGGGTTTGGGGTACTGGGTTTTGGTGTTTAGGATTTAGGGTTNNTAGGGTTAGGGTTTAGGGCTTTGGGCGAAGAGCTATTTCGTATTCTTGGAACAGGTCCGTGTCGACACATTCATGTGTCTCTTTGTAAGGTGTGCCAGGCCTTCCAAAGACAGCGACCCGGGTTTGTTTGACCGTGTGAAGTCCGAGAGGCAGCAAGTTGTAGCCGTAGTTCTTCCGTCTGTACTTCTTGGAGAGAGGGGCTGCAAGGTTCAGGCCTTAGAGGCTGGAGGTTGTAACCAATGGTCTGCAGCCTGAGCGTTGTGCGGCCCTTTCCCACCCAGGATCTGGACGACCTAGCGCCATTAGACGAAGCAGCGAAGCTCGAGCTCAAAGGACCGCTGCTTTGCACCCAGCATTAGCGGGGCAAGAGCAGCGTGCAGTAGCTATAACAGCAAAAGGAGGGGATGTTTGTAGCAGTGGTAGCCGTGGTGATTGCCTGGCGGCAGTGGCGGCAGTGGTGACAGTGTGGCAGTGGTGGGCGCAGTGGCGGTCGTGGTCATGGTCCCAGTTGTGGTCCTTTTCGTGGCAGTGGTAGTAGTTGTTATTCTTCGTGTTGAATTGCATTATGTTGCATCGTTTTGTGTTGCTGTGTTTTGGTGGGGGTAGTAGTTGTAGCGGCAGGCGGGGGAGCAGTAGTAGTAGTAGCAGTAG